AAATGTCAGTCTAACAGATGATATTCCAGGCTGCAAGTGAATAAATAGATGGGGGGTAATTTTTCAGCCTTCAGTGTGTGTCTGGATCCAATATTATCTCTATTCCCTCCCTTATTAAAGAACTCACGCAGAGTTTATGGCCGTGTAAGTTGAACATTTCCAGTAATTTTTCCTTTTTTAAAAGACCCGGATTAATTTATTTTTAAACCTTATTTACAGCTCTCTATTTCTGCCGACTGCTTAATCCGGTTTTCTGTATCCACTCCCAGTAGGAAGCCCCTTTTTCCTTGCTTTCCCTCAATAATTTTCACTGAAATTAATACATTACATTTTCTGGTCCTTTTAAAGGAGCACTTGCTGCAAAAACTGATTTGGATCCCGAAAATCACTCCGTGGCTGGGAGTTTTTTTGCCACAGCCTTTGATTTTGTTCCAGTAATCCATTGTTGCTTATTCCTCAAAGGTTGGTTTGGTTTTAGTCTCGATCAGATGTGATTTTTTTTTTTTTCCCCCCCACCTTGTGTGGAACAATCAAACCTCGTCTCTCTGGGAAGCAACGTTGATTTTTTTTTTTGGGAACAGGTGGATCTGTATCCAGTCAGGACACTGGTCCTGTACCTGAGAGTTGCTGCTGATTAATTGGATCAGAGGAAAAACTCCGACTCAGACATAAATATCATTTTACCATCCAATCTTTTCAGCTGATTTATGGCTGAAAACGTGGAGGTTTAATTCAAATAGTGCCAGATGTGCTTATTATATTCCTGTGTTATTAATTCATCTTATGAATTCTTCCCTGGGATTTTATTTTGATGTGTTTAATGTGAAAAATGGTCCTCTGACAGTTTGGAATTTGCCACCTCAAAGGCTTGTGTAAGGAAAAGATGCTGATTACAAGCTCTCAATCTCTGTTGTCTTTATTTTTATTTTAGTATTTTATGCTCCTGTGAAGTGTCCTCTCAGGCAAATAAGTTCTTTATTTTCAGTGTCTTTGGTAATTATTTTTTTTAATCACCTGATGAGGAATAAGTGACGGGAAAGGAATCCAACATTCCTCTGCTAAAGAAACCTCCATAATTTGATCAAACTCTGTTTAAAAGCTGCTTTGTTGCCCTTTCCCTGTTGAGCCACCTTTGCTGGCAGTGGGATGTACAATATTCCAGGGGAAGGCAGACCCTGACTTACAGGATGGATTGCAATGGAATTATGGATCTTTGTCCCCTTTGTTTAATTGTTGTCATTCCTTCCCTGACTGTTCCCAGCACTGACACCCCGAGGTGGCCTTTTGGCTGCTCCTGATGAGGCCCAGCTGGGTTTTCCCTGAATTGCTTGTTTTTTGGGAATGTGGTGACATAGGAAGAGTCTCCCCATGGCATTCCCTGTGTTTATCAGCATTCCCTGTATCCCACTCTCTGGGTTATCACTCTGTCTAGTTAAGCCTGTCAGTGTCCTGTATCCCAAATACTGGCTTTCCCTGTAAATTGGGAAAATCAACTGGATGGGCTGCCATCATTCAGTGTCATTCCCAGATCCCCAGTGCAGCTGTAAAACCATTCCAGTGTAACATGAACAGGCAGCAGTTTCTGATTCCTGGCAGAAGTGGATTTTGGGGATTTTGGGCCCTGATTCCTGATTTTTCTGGTCTTACACAGGACTTGAATTCAAACCTTTTGGTACTTCCAGGAAAACATCAGCTTGTCTTTCCAAGCCCTGTATCCCTGTGTTTGAGGGATTGGACAGATTTGGGAGATGGGGCTGTTTTACCAGTGGAGACCCCACTCAGTCAGTCAATTAATGTGGTTTGGTTTCCTTTTGCTCCTTTCTCCATAGGAATTCCAGCCATTTAATGACAGGGCTTTATCCCTCTGGAACAATCCTCTTCATCCCAACTGATCCCAACCTCTCTGACACCTCATTCCACGGGGGAAACCTCTCCTCTCCTTCACTCCACTTGGGAATTTCTCTTATATTCTCAACCTTGCCAACCCTTCTTTTCTCTGGAATTCATTCCAAAGAATATTTGCTTTTGGTTTCTGACCCCCTTTGGAAGAATTCCCAGGAGTCTTGGGCAGCCACCTCCTCAGACAACTGGGAAATGTGTCTTTTGTTTGTTCTTTTTGTTCATTACCCTTTTCCTTAACCTTTTTTTTTGAGCTCATCAGGTGTTGGGAAAGGTTGGATAAATGTCCTCAGGAAAAGAGTGACAAGGCTGGAGTTAAAGAGGGAGGATGGATTTGTGAGATCATATCTGGAGGTACCTAATTAGTGCTTATTCACTGAGTCCTTGGGGTATTGTTCAGATTTTGCTTTTAGACTGGAATTTTCCTCTTGAGGGCCCAAGGACTGTTGGGTTTGTCTTTATCAAATGCAAAGAAAAAAGATTCGTGTAAAAAAACCCCACAAAAATTGATCACAATCACAATTAATTTATGTTTTTATGGAGATGTTTTAAGACAGAAGTCCTGTAGATAAATTGTGCCCACCCAGTGTCGTTAATGATGAACAGAAGGAACTGAACATGTGCAGTTTTGGCACATTTTAGACATATTCTGTATGAAATTCCATAATCAGCAAAATTTGGGAAGGGAGCATTGCCCCTCAGAATACTGCAGGCCATGAACTGCTGGAATCTTGGGATAATACAGTTTTCCAGGGATGCCAAGAGCCACGTGCTCTGCTCAGCAATATTCCCAGTCCTTGGCTCCAACAGAAACTTGGACTCTCTTCATAAACTTCACATTTCTCAAGTTTTTTTCTCAGTTTTTCACCTCTCTTGGTCAAAAAGGTTTGTGATTCATCCCAAGGAGCAGGAATAATTTAACAAATAAAAATCTGTAGCTGAATTAAAGGGTTTGTTCAAAGATATTAATTAGTAAATTAGTAAATTTAAAAGCTGAATCCCCTTGAAATGTAATATTTTGGAAGCCAACCATGACACTCACGGCATGTCTGGAGCTGCCCATCACACACAGCAACTTGTGGGGGGGGTTACACAAAAAGCACCAAATTTAAAGTTATGAGACACTGGTTTTGGCATAATTTTATTAAAAATACAAAAATTATCAAAGCAGTAGTGATAGGATTCAGTAGATGAACTGCAAAGAAATACAAGTTAGAAGGATGTGTAACATCTTCCTAAAACAACTGGCATTAAAAATTGAGTGCATCCAATCAAATTTTGGCTTGAGATATTAATAGCAGCTATTAATCAGTGGATATCTGTGGTTTGGGGTGTCCTGTGAACACCAGGAGTTTGAGGTGTGACTCCAGCGTGTCACCAGAGACTTTTGGACGTGGGGAAAATCAGTCACTGGAGATGCTTGAGACGCCTCAGGTCGTTTTAGGATGTGCTGGGGGAGGAATTTTAGGGAATTCCACAGTTGGTGGGCACCTTCACCAGCTGCCACCTGAAATGCTCAGTTCTGTTATTTTTTTTTTTTGCTCTGTTTGAATTCTTTACCTTCTGTGTCGTGCTTGAGACCGCGAGGAAAATACGAGGGTTCGTTTTTCGCCCGGCGCTCGCCGTCACCCTGATAATGTTTCCTCCACCAATCATTTTTAGGTTTCCTGAGGGCCTTTCTGAATTTGTCACTTAATGGTCTCCTAAATCAATAGTAACCTCCAGGAGCTGGTTATTATCACACGTTGCTGGTCGTCCTCACAATTGCTGCCAGCTCCTTTGAGGGTCTGGTGGTGATTTTTTGGTCTTTGTCCTCCTTTCTCTGAGTATTGGCCTCATGCACCGGTTGGAAAAACGCTTTCTGGGGCCAACTTAGTCACCTTTATTTAAGAATCCTTCGTGTGCTTGTTGTTTAGGGCACATTGATTGCTAATAAAGGCATCTGTGTGGAGTTCTCCTGCGGGTAAAGCCGTGTCCGTGAAGCAATTAGCACTTGGGGTGAGGGCAGAGGGGAAGGCGCCTCCAAAGCAGCTGCCCGGGCAGTTCCCAGTGGGATATTGCTCAGTAAAAGAAGGATTTTAGTCTGTCCTACCTTATACCAGCAAGACACACTCATACCTCCATGGGAGGAGTAGGAAAAAGAGTGGGAAGAGGGGGATCAGGGATTGGTGGAGCTCCTGTTTTATCCTATCTATCCCTGCCCTCTGGCAGTGGGAAGCCATTCCACCTTGTCCTGTCACTCCAGCCCTTGTAAATTGTCTCTCTCCATCTTTCTTGTAGCTCCTTCAGGTCCTGGAAGGCCACAATTATGTCACCCCAAAGCTTCTCTTCTCCAGGCTGGACTATCCCAACTCTCTCAGCTTTTTTTCCCTGGATTAACACTTGTATGGGAAATGGGGTGAAACTGGGAGGGTGCAGACTCCAACTGGTTATCAGAAAAAAAATGTTCCAGTGGCAATGTCTGCCTGGAAGAGTTCTCTAAGCACTAAAAATTTCCATCCCTTTGTTTTCAGTGCAGAGCAGAAACCTCCCAAACTTTCCCCGACGCTTCCAGAAAAATAATCAACTTCTGAACTCCGTGACAAATGGGGTTTGTGTATGAATTTAACTGTGGCAACGTTGGAGTGGCTTCAAATTTAGAGGGGTGGCAAGCACATTGGACACAGTGCAACATCACTGGGGAGCATTTGCATAGTGGGGACAGGGCCAACAATGTGTTCCCTCAGCCCGGCAGATGCCAAGGAATACCTTAAAGGAGAGGAAAACATCCAAAGGGAGCACGGGAGGAGTGTGCAAAACTGGCCATATTGATCATGTTAAGGGCAGCTTTGGGGTGTGTTTGTGAGCCCCTGGTTTTGTGGGTTTGTCCCCAGGAGCAGGGAGGGTTTGGTGGGTGTGGGTTCCAACCTAGTCCTGGTGCCACAGCACAACGGGGACAATATTTCCTGTCAGTTCTGAAGATTCCCTTGATAATTCCTGTCTCAGTTTGTGGTTTCAGCCGGAAGGTTCTTGGCTGGTGGAAGCAGGAGCTCCCTGTTGGTGCCGGACCTTGAGTCTCAAATGTCCAAACACTTCTAAGGTTGGTAAATCCTCTCTTTCAGACTCCTGCTGAACAGGCCAAGGCCAGGCTACAGCTGGTTCTGGAGGCAGCTGGTGAGTAAAATGATATTCTTCAAAAATACATTTGATTTTTGTAATATCAGATAACAAGTTTTATTCAGTTTTTGGCAAATGTTGAGTCCCATTCTCTGTAACTCACTTAAATTCCATGTTAAGGTGAATCTGGTTTTCATTGTCACTGGCATTTGGTAAATCTCTTAAAGGAAATAAAAATAAGTGGTATTTTACACTTAGACCTCACACGTTTGTCCTCTGGCTGCTGCTGTTACTGAGACTTTATTCTGTGCCCTCCAAAATTTGGGGGTTTAAATTTTTTTTATTTTCTTTCTTTGTTTTTTAGGACTGATCTGAATTAGTACATGTATATATTTATATTTATTTATTTGAAGTGATGGCAGTCTTTCCAAAAGACTTTTCCAGTGCTTTCCAAACGGCTCAGATCAAGAAGCAGATCTACAAATTAATTCTCTACAGAGAGAAACATTCCTATATTAACATTCCTATTTTGATTTTCTTATTAAACTGTATCAGCTTGTCACACAAGAAGGAAAGCTTTCAGTATTTCATATCTATTGTAACAAGTCCATGTTGCTCTTTACTTTCCTATTTGCATTTTTAAGTTAAAAGCAGCAATTTCCAAGAAAAATCTTCTTTTTTTTAAAAATTTTTCCCCTTTTGAAACCTTTGGTTTTTAGGAATAATCTTCTCACATTGCTGGTGTCCGTTTTCCAAAAGAAATCCAGCTTTTTGCCTTGCCTGCCTTCCAGTTCGTTCCTTGTTCTCCAGAACTTTTAATAAATCCTTGAAACATGTAATTATAAAATAGATGTGACAGCCCTGACCTCAAAAGCACAATGTGTGTGTTCTGCTCCCATCGCTCACACCTCAGTTTTTCATTTCAATATTTTAATTTTAATGTAGAAAAGGTAACTCGGGCTGTACATCATCACGACCTGGGCTCCAAAATTTCCAAAAACGTATCAAAGGTCTGTGGCATTGTTAAATTTAAATATTCACCATTGAGGGCTGAATCTTGGATTGGAGCTGTAGGGTGTTCATAAACAGCCAAAGAGATTTAATGACTTTTTTGCCACCCAAAATACAGACAGAAGTCCTCTCCTGGCTTTATTTAAGTCTTGATCATCTCAGGCCTTTATGAAATCACCCCCCAACCTTCTTCCCCTAGTCCTGCATTTAGTTAATTGCATTTAATTTTTATTAAATTGGAGGGAGAGGAGTGTTATTTCAACATCTTTTAGCGTGTTTACTCATTGCAAAATCAGCACTTTTTTTCACCTTTTGGTGTTAAAAATGAAGAATAAATTTGTGTTAGACCATTCCAGGAGCTCAGGGTCAGCAGGTTCATTGTTGTTGCTGTTTGATGGAATTGGATATAAGATAAATTTAACTCCGTCCCTGATAACGAGTTGTTTGTGTGTGTAGGGCTCGAGACAGAGTCCATCCCAAACCTGGGAATGAACTTGTGGAATATCTGGCTGTACATGGTACAGGAATTGCTCCAATCCCACTGAGTGGGATAAAAGCTGGGCTTTATTCCCAGCAGATTATCCACCTGGATGTGGTTGGTGATGACACTGTGCTCCTCCATGGTTTGGACAAACAAACCAGGGGCTCAAAATTACCAACAAGTGTTGGAGAGACATTTGGGATGGTCCCCTCCTGCTTCATCCCTGCTGACATCATGGAATCATGGAATGGTTTGGGGTGGAAAGGACCTTAAAGCTCATCCAGTGCCACCCCCTGCCATGGGCAGGGACACCTTCCCCTGCCCCAGGTTGCTCCAAGTCCTCTCCGACCTGGCCTTGGACACTTCCAGGGCTGGGGCTGCTGAAGCTTCTATGGACAATTTCTTGAATTTCTTGACTTTATTTTCCTCTCTGAATTTCCCTGTTGCAGATATTTGGGATCTTGGGGAAAAATCCGCTTTTAGAATTTAACTTGGAAGTAATTTCAGGAAATAACAACTGCTTTCTTTAAGAGGCAGGAGGTAACAAGAAGTTAAACAGACTCTTTTTATTTAGATTTATTTCTCTCTGATGCATTTTGGAGATGGGAATTGTGACTTCTGGTCTCTCGTTGTGGGAGAGCTGGTGAAATAAAAAATATTCACCTGTGTGTGTGAGGGAGGAGGGGAAGGTGGCTATTTTTACATCCAGGTACTACAGTGCTGGCAAGAAGTTTTATCTCCAAGTCCTGTGTTCATGCTGACTTGCTTAAATGTTGTTTTTCTTTGTGGGTGTAATTAATGTCAGTACCTTTGTTCTCATTAAGGGCAATGCTGGGAGGTGCTGAAAGCCTCCTATTTAATCCTCGAGGCAACTGATTTTTGATTTATCAAAGTAGAAGCTGCTGGTCTGGGCTCTAAATTCGCATTTATGTGACTTTATTGAATTAGATTTCTTAATGTTGAGGTGCCAGGAAGCCTCTTGCAGCCCCTGACGAGCTCCCCCAAGTCGCCGTGCCCGAGCAGATGTTAAGCAGGCAGTAGTTGAATGTTAATTTGGAGAGGGTGGGATGTTTTAAGCCCATCTGAAGTATGTTGCATGTGGGCCTTCCAGACCCAGCCACAATGCTTTGTCCCTTGGGAGAATTTCCAAGCTAAACCTCTTTCTCTTTGTGGCTCTATATGGACTCTCTCAAGTCAGTATAAAGCAGATCATCCCTGGGCTAAAGCTCTCCAGCTTTTGTTCCGGGGCTCTGTAGGGCTGTAATTAGGCCTCCTGGCAGGCCATGCCGGCCAGTTAATGGTCATATGGAGTTTCTATGGGGCAGACTGGCTTTGTGTAAATCCTTGCTCGGGAGCCGTTTATGGGTCACTTCCTACCAGGCCGCGCCTTTGTGGCGCTGCCCCACGGGCTGACGGGGAGCAGGTTCCCTTGACCATCCCGGCACAATCCCCCCTCCTAATCCCCAGTGTAAACAGAGGATTTAGCTCAGCTTCTGTCACTTACAGTTGCCAAACCACTTGGGTGTCTGTGATTCCTTTCCCAGACACTCCACTGCCCAGAAGGACGGGGAGGTTTTGTGTTGAACGTCGCTCCGCTCGCCGCTTTTAGGGGGAAAAGTTCAAACCCTAAAAACTCGGGGCAAACAGCAAACCTCACGGCTTTAAAGCTTCTTCATCCACACCTTAATTTGCCCCGTGGCACCGGTGTTTCCTCGCAGAGGTTCAAACGTGGATGAATATTCCAAAAACGTCAATAAATTCCTCTGAAACAGCACGTGGACGTTTCAAACCATCAATATTCCTGCCTCTTCCAAAGGGCTCCCGAAGCTTTTTCCATGGTGCTAAGCAGAAATGTCTTGCTCTCCGTATAAAGACGCTGACAAAAGGCAATTGATCTGGATTTTCAAAGGTCTAGAGTTGAAATGAAGTGACTGATGTATTTTTGGAATCTGCATTTCAATCTGTGGCTGAAAGAGCCACTCAAGAATGGGGTGGTTTTGTGCAAAGAATTCGTCCCGGAGTTTATTTAAAGGAAACTTCAGGATGGAGGCACTAATGGGACATTAACAATTGACACTAAAAATGGGTGAATACAAATCACAAGCATTTAACATTTATCTGTTTGGCTGCAATTCTGGATATTGGATATTTAGCTCATTATCTCTGAATTACACCATCAAATTGCCGCCTTTAATTCTGTGCCTTTGTTGCATTTTACATATTCCTTAAAGAGAAAAATCACGGAATACAACAACTAATTTGGCCTTAACTGTTGCAAACACAAATGTTTTATAGTTCTTACAGCTTCTTTTTTATTATTGAGGAGAAAACCCCCAATTTGCACTGAGTGCCTGATAAATATAGTCAAATATTCTCTGCTTTTGGGCATCAAAATGGCTCATAACAGATGTGGCTGAAAGGACCACATACGTAGACTGTATGATTTTAGTCTGGTGGAACTAATAGGATCACTTGGTACTTTATAGATTCTTGCTTTTCTTTTGCTTTAATAAAAACTGTTTAGTTAAATAGGTTGGCCTCTATTTTGCTCTTTTCTAGCCATGCAGAGCAGGGAGGGGGGCAAGTGGCAACAAGTATGAAAAATTTCCTTTTATTGGGGCTTCTTTTCAACTGCCAAATTTATGGAATGGTTATGGATTTCTGGTTTTGTTGATGCTTTTCTCTCAGTTTTGCTGTTTGTGTTCTTCCCACCGAAAACTCCATGGCTTCCATTTGAATTTCGAATTCTGCAATGAATTTTAGGAGAGTGGATAACATATGTGGCTGTATAGACACAAAGGATGAAATAAGACTTAAAATATTTCACTTGTTTTGTGGAAATTTAAAACTGCTTTTAAAATAACGTTTGTCCCAGAAATTGCAAGAATTTGAACTTATAACAAGCTTAAAATTTGCTGAATATTGACAAAGAGGTTAATTTGGTTGCTATGTGGGTGTGCTCAGTTTGATTGAATATAAAATTCTTATTTCTATCCATTTCAAGGAGTTGTTTTGACTAGAGTTGATTGACACTTTGGATAATTTAATTTTACTTCTATTTATATAAAAATCTCAGTTTTGGAGAGCAAAAATCTCTTATGGAATTACCTTTTCTCTCTGTGGCGAACATGGATGTGCTAAAAAGGATTTTGAAGGTGTTTTGTGCAGCATTTCTTGAACCCCCAGCTGAGGAGAAGAAGTTTTCTCCGTGGTGAGTCTTCACCAGTCTGGGAAGTTCGTTACTATTCCCTGTCTCAAAGGAAAATAAACTGGAATTACACTCGGGAAGTGCCTCCAAATGATCCAGGGGGGCTGTGCAGTTGGATTTCCACTTGCTGGCAGGAGAGATGCTGGATGCTCCATCTTCCTGGAGCTGTGGAAGGGTTTTGATCTCTGGGCTTCAGGACTCTCAGAGAGCTCTTCCATTCCATGAGGATCTGATCCATGATGGATTCTACCATCTCTAATCCTGTCCCTGCAGTCCACAGATGAGTTCACAAGTCTTGATTGGTGAAATGTTTAATTATTTTAGGTTTCTCCTGCTCAGTTCTGCTCAGTGCCTCAA